CGCGGAAAAATGCACCACTTTTGAGCCGAATTTTTTTCTAATTGGACAGCAATCATCTACTCAAAAGCAATCATCTACTCATCAGCAAATTCATGTCCCCCGGCACAATTGCAACATCTTGCCCGTGAAATGGGACAGCTCGTTCTAGACTCATTAGAACATACAGACTACCTATCCCACGGGTATCGGATACCTTCTAGGAACAAAACTTTTAATAAAATCGGCCTTATAAGTTCACATCCATTGCTCAACATCGTAAAACAAAAAATAAAAAGTCTGTGAATGAAGAAATATTTCTATAACTTCGACTTCACTTCATTGAAACAATAATCGCGAACAAATCGTAACAGTTATTGAATTAGTTTAATAGGGGCTTTTCAGCTAATTATTGGCGGTTCCAAAAATGTTTGCGTAAGTTTAAACACAATTATCTCAGTCATAATCGCATGAAAATGCACCAGACATATGTCAAAATCTAAGTTAAACATCGCGGAATATAGGGTGATTTATTTAAGTGTAATAGCTCTTTTAGTTTTTGAGTCATAGTAAATCAAACAGTCGTACTTTTTTTTTCCCCACCCGGTATTAAAACAAAACTAGTCTTAATTTTTCATTTTAACTCTAGTTTAATTTAATAACAGCAAATATTTACATTTATAATAAATATAATCTCTTATTTTTCACCCTGCTCGGTTTCCTTTGTTCTTGTCGGGGAATATATTCAATATTCCCCTCTAATCAATTTCCGTTTAATAATCCCCTCTAATATTCACCTGCAATTAATAATCCCCTCTAATATTAACCTGCAATGTCTTTGCAGCACAAAAAATGAGAAAAAACAACATCGCAAAAGCAATATGTCATTGAGAATTATTTCTTTTCTGACTCATTAACGCGACCTCGCAGTGTGAAAAATAAGTACGTTATTTTGAGGCACCTCGGGGATATGTGTTTATTCACCTCGGCGCTGCGCGCCTCGGTGAATAAATCACATATCCCCTCGTTGCCTCAAAATAACCTATACATGTTTCGCACAACGTCCTGCGTGGGCGACCGCGCTTTTATCGCTTGTTGCTAGGCTGGTTAAATCATCACTTTTAATTAATATTAGTTTTCATTACTGTCGTTCCAATTGAAGTGTTCCTCAAATATTGATTCAATACATTACCTCACCGTGACCATTTCATTTCATCAAGTTCCTCGAGATATTCATACACTTCCTGTGACAGAGCCAATTCCAAGAATTTGATAATTTCTGGTCATTGCGGTCGCCCACGCAGGACGTTATGCGAAACATGAGATTATATTTATTATAAATGTAAATATTTGCTGTTATTAAATTAAACTAGAGTTAAAATGAAAAATTAAGACTAGTTTTGTTTTAATACCGGGTGGGGAAAAAAAAGTACGACTGTTTGATTTACTATGACTCAAAAACTAAAAGAGCTATTACACTTAAATAAATCATGCGATTATGACTGAGATAATTGTGTTTAAACTTACGCAAACATTTTTGGAACCGCCAATAATTAGCTGAAAAGCCCCTATTAAACTAATTCAATAACCGTTACGATTTGTTCGCGATTATTGTTTCAATGAAGTGAAGTCGAAGTTATAGAAATATTTCTTCATTCACAGACTTTTTATTTTTTGTTTTACGATGTTGGGCAATGGATGTGAACTTATAAGGCCGATTTTATTAAAAGTTTTGTTCCTAGAAGGTATCCGATACCCGTGGGATAGGTAGTCTGTATGTTCTAATGAGTCTAGAACGAGCTGTCCCATTTCACGGGCAAGATGTTGCAATTGTGCCGGGGGACATGAATTTGCTGATGAGTAGATGATTGCTTTTGAACAACAAGCGTTAACGTACTGACTATAGAGTATAACGTGTCTTAACACAAGTTGTTTTTGTATATAAAGGTATTAATATTTAATAGGCCGTTTTTAGCTTAATTCTCTCAGTTTCAAAAATGTTACTCTTGTTCAAATGCACGTATCTTTGTCAATATGGCATGGAAATGTGCATGGCATATATCAAAATTTAAATTAGACATCGCTGAATGCTAATAAACGTGTTTTATTGTCATTGCTCTTTTAGTTCTGATGTTATACCAATTCAAAGAGTCGTACTTTTTTTTGCCCCACCCGGTATATAAACTGCTGAGAACAAGTCCATTGTCGTTTGGCGGCGTTCGGAAAATTTTTGTCATCAAGATTACCGAAATCTATGGTAGTATAGACTATACGTAAAAGCCAAAAACAAAATTTTTTATCTAGACAAGAAAGACGAAATCTATCATTTTAGCTCAAAAGAGCATCCTAAAATTAGTAAAATTGCAAAGTTTGGTTGCGAAATGTTGTAAAATACGAAAAATATAGCCCTGTAAATTAGAAAAAAATTCGGCTCAAAAGTGGTGCATTTTTCCGCGCGTAATACCGAAATACTCAAAATTTAAAGATGTGCTTTTAAGCTATAATGATAGATTTCGTCCTTTTTGTCTGGATCAAAATATAATCTATAAGAATCATCCATTTAGTAATCAATTTATTTCGGAAAAATATGCTGGTAAATGACTAACAGCACACGTAAGTAAACCTAGCAGTTCCTTTGTGAAAAGGAGACAATCTGTCTGACAAATCCACATAGTTTTTTCTTGACAAAGGACAGGAAATATCGCAAATAAGAGTAAAAACGTATTTGGAATAGGGTTAACTTCATGTTTAAGTTCCGTGTTTAAGAAATAGAAAATATACGAATCTTCTCCGGCCGGGCATATTTTTCAAGCTCGCCCGGTGTGGATATACACTCAGAGTAACATCACAAATATCATATTCACCTGAGTACAGAACACAGAAAAAATCATATTACTAGATTACATTGGTATCGAAGGAACTAGATTCTGTTCCGAAGTATCACTTACCCGAACCGTCCTGACCGCGTAGCTTAGTTGGCAGAGCATTGGGCTAGTATTCCAAAGGTCGTAGGTTCGATTCTCACCGTGGCCGGGCATATTTTTCAAGCTCGCCCCGGTGTGGATATACACTCAGAGTAACATCACAAGTATCATATTCACCTGAGTACACAACACAGAAAAAATCATTGTTCAATATTGTTGACAACTATGAACAATGTGGGCCGCACAACATTGTTCAATCCTATGATGCTTGTGATGTTACTCTGAGTGTATATCCACACCGGGCAGGCTTGAAAAATATGCCTGGCCACGGTGGGAATCGGACCTACATCACGTGCTCACAGTAACATCACAAGCATCATAGTCACTCCAATACATTACACCAACACAGAGAAAATTGTTCAATCCTGTTTTCATCAATATTGCAACAACCTGATCGTTTTTAACTGGGTACGAGGCAATGAGTAACGAGTAATGAATTTCCGTTCTTACTTTGGAAAGATAAACCATGAAAACATTGACAGTGATTCCACTCACTGTTCGGTATACCGATATACCGAAAATATCGGTATTAAATCAAATTCGGTATATCGATACCGGATGTTCAACCATACCGATACACCGAAATTTCCGATATACCGGAATTTCTCGGCATACCGTGTTAAATTTACCAACTATATATGGCGAAACCATAACCTTTATTTTACTACTGAATGGCAATTCATAGTCATAGAACTTTCTACTGCAATGATTTAGAATTTCCACTTCATGAGATTTTACACTGAATACGTGTCGTTCGAAACAGCTTCGAAATTATCGTTTTCCCTTTTGGAATTGCTCAAAATTTCCTTCAAATTGCCATTAAAGAATTTTCCTTTATAATTATCAAAGGAAAACCGGTATACCGATAATATCGGTATAATTTTTTCGGTATCCCGATACCGGAAATTTCTCACAGTGTCAGTAGTGAAACTGACATCAACCATGGCCATAATCAGTTCGGTTATAGCATACTCGTTTTCGGCTTCTTTCAGCTATCTACTCCTTATTAATTTAAAATCGTGAAATGCACTGGCTGGGAATTCCAGACTCTCATGTGTAAAAAACAAAGCAGCAAATTATATAAAATTCCTCAAAATATAACTCTCGCATAACAAAAACTTTGAATACTTCTGTAATATGTATAGTTTTTTCCTATGCATTGTCAAAAAATTAATAAAATAGTGAATTAATATCATTTTCTATAGTTGATAGACTGAATATATCGGCGTGACAAAATTTGCCGCGAGTTTCCTCTCTGGACTATTTCTTCTGTGTCCAGACACACCGGACGCGATTCGACAACGCGACGCGATTTTTCGATTTTCACTGAACGATAACTTTGATCCTAGTTTAACTTTTCCAAATATTTAGAAGCGCTATAACATTTCGAGTTATTTGGTCTACATATCTTTTAAAATTTGCTCTCATTGGCTGTTTTATTAACTTTCAAAAACTAAAAAATCGCGTCGCGTTGTCGAATCGCGTCCGGTGTGTCTGGACCTTAAGACCACTTGCAATTTCCCGAAGGTTGTATAGTTTGTTTTCTCACTTTTGTATGAAAAAAGATTAGTAGGTGATTTGGGACCCATTTTATTTAACACTTTATACATCATTTTTGCCTTAACTTTCTTCATGTTTTGAGCGGTTCCTCCGTTGCGGTATATTGTGGTGTCATTTTCAAATTTGAGTACGTACCTGGGTTGACAGGCTTTCACTGGTTGAACTGCATGTGTATATATGGATTACGTACTGTTTAATAAACGAGTAGGAGTGTTTTATCACATATAAAACACGACGCGTAGCGGAGTGTTTTATATGTGATAAAACACGAACTACGCCGAGTTAGATCACGGCATTAGGGAAATAATTTTCCAAAATAACTTTGTATTAGCTGAGAAAATACAAGTTGAAATTTGAAGCGTGTTTTATCACATATAAAGACACGCCACGCTTATGATTTCTCTTTGTGTTTTCCTCATGAATTATTAATGAGTTTTTGAAGGATAATTAACAGTTATAATAGGACACGCGGAAGAGTGTATTAAAGCAGGCACGCTTGGCCATTTTGAAACGTTTTCTCGAGGCAACCGAGCACAAAAGTCAAGCAGAATTTGCAAGATGGTGATGTCTAGAAGTACAGCGATTGGGTCGATAGTAACAGGCTCTATCATGCTTGGCTTTGCAATTATTGCCGTGATATGTGGCGCAATTTCAACCGGGAAGTTGTCTGGCGCAGTGGCCGCGTCGGCTGGTCTGTGGTCGCTGTATGTAAGTTTTAGCAGGTTAAAGCCTTGTTCATGTCAAAACCTAAAGCCCTATGTCACCCATGTTGTTTAGAGCTTCAGTTTCATTTGGTCGCAGTTTTCGAAGGCTTGATCGTCAGAGGGTTTCCGATCTTGCCATTGTTCAAAACTCTGGATTTATCTTGCTTTTTGTGAAGCGTTTTTTTTCAAAAACGATTTTTCAAATTGTAGAAATATGTCGGTAGCCCTATTTTGGTTACAAGGCTGAGGCTGAATTCTGGTTCTCTTTTGCTATTTGGTGGCAGCTGTCGTGTCTGCCATTGGACCTTTCCCCTTCAGTATAACTAAAATTTTGATCTAGACAAAAATTTCATCACAGCTTGAAAGAGCATCACAAAATTAGTATTAATATTCCAATGTTTCGTTGCGAAATGTTGTAAAATGCGGATAATATAGCTTTGCGAAGTTAGCCGTTTTTCAGTCATTTTGTATTACGCATGGGAAATTGACAGCCCAATC